CCCTACTAAGCACCAGACAGCTTTTCTTGGCCTCCACGAACGCAGGCGTCCAGCTATCTATCCGGATGATCGGGAGGCCGGGTGGCACTGGGTCTGGGCGGTCTACGGCTAATTGGACCTCTAGGGCTCTTGGGTTTACCGGGTATATGGGTAGATCTCTAAATTAGGGNNTTTGGGGTCCTTTTTATAAGGGTTTACGGGGCTTGCACGGTTTACGGGGCTCAAAGTTTAGGGCTGCGTGGGGTGTAGGGATGGCTAGGGTTGGTTCTGATAATTGTGTTTGGGGTTTGGAGTTTTGGTCCTGAAAGTCCAGCCACATATTTCAGGTTGTTGGGGAAGCAGGTTGAGCCTGAGCGGAGAGCATTTCAAGCAGGTCCCTGTTCCGACGTCGCCGGTGCAGTCACCAGCTGACGACGATGAGCACAGGCAGCAGAGGGCTTTAGGGTTCAGGGCCCGAAACCCGAAACCCTGAACCTTTACGGCTTGAGGGTTGAGGTTCGCGTAGGGTGTTTTGGGATGTTGGGCATTTAAAGTAGGAATTTGATGGTTATGCTTCCGGATTTAAGTGTTAGCCGCGGCTTTTGAAAGGGTTGAAACGCTGGTTTTCGGTGCAGGCTTGGCGTTCGACATGGTGTTGGGAGCGTAGCAGACTCTACACATATCGGGGTAACACAAATAAGAAACGCTATTGAGGTTCCACTAATAGGCATAGCGGCATAGAGACCGTGTGACCCAAAGAACCCACGATCCGACACCTCAAGCTATCCTCATACTCCGAAATCGTAGACCTCTCAACCCTGGTCCTATTTCGCAGTCATGTGAGCCTCTTCCCTATCTTCCTTTCTTTCAGGCCACCCGTGGTGCCGGTGTCTTCGGGCCACATATCCAGCGGGATGCTGTCAGCGCACTCAGACAGTGGCTCGGCCGGAGGGTTCAGATGCCGGTGATGATAGGTACAAGAATGATGCTCAGATGGGTAAGATCTGTCAATCCATCATCATCATCATCATCAGCA